GACAAACTATAACGTTATCTGACAAACTATTACGGGACCTGGCAAACTATTACGTTACCTGGCAAACTACTATGGGACCCAGCAAACTATTACGTTACCTGGCAAACTATTACGTTACCTGGCAAACTATTACGTTACCTGGCAAACTATTATGGGACCCAGCAAACTATTACAGATCCCAGCAAACTATTACAGGACCTGGCAAATTATTACGGGACCCAGCAAACTATTACAGGACCCAGCAAACTATTACAGGACCCAGCAAACTATTACGGGACCCAGCAAACTATTACGGGACCCAGCAAACTATTACAGGACCCAGCAAACTATTACAGGACCCAGCAAATTATTACGGGACCCAGCAAACTATTACAGGACCCAGCAAACTATTACAGGACCCAGCAAACTATTACGGGACCCAGCAAACTATTACAGGACCCAGCAAACTATTACAAGACCTGGCAAACTATTTCGGGACCCAGCAAACTATTACAGGACCCAGCAAACTATTACAGGACCCAGCAAACTATTATGGGACCCAGCAAACTATTACGGGACCCAGTAAACTATTACAGGACCCAGCAAACTATTACGGGACCCAACAAACTATTACGTTACCTGGCAAACTATTATGGGACCCAGCAAACTATTGCGTTATCCGGCAACGGTTGTCGTCCACTGTCTAACTCAGACAGGGAGGACGTCCAGTCTAGCCCATTAGCGAATCATAGACGGGGAGGCAATATCAGGGTGGCGGTGGGAGCTTCCGATGGCGCTGAACATGACATGACCCTCCCCCCCAGACAGGACCCACCAGGAAGCTTGTTGGAAGGAAACCATGGTGGAATTCCTTGCAGCTACTGCACCCAGGAGGCCAGGAAACTGAATGGGGAGAAGAATTCTTTGATGAAGCAATTACCGACCTGGTCAGTGATATTGGCCATAACGTGGATAGGATCTTTGAGCGTCATGCGTGAGTGGTTACTTCTGCCAAAAGATCTGGTGACCATGCACCACGCCCTCGCGCTGCGCATAGGTGGAGACGTCCATCGATAAATCGTGCCAATCCAACCTCCGACCGAACGAAAAAGGGAGCGAAAAGCACTACATTCTGTATCAGAGCCTGTACGAGAAGAACCGTTCCAAGGCTGCTGCGTGCGTCCTCTCCAGGGACTGAGAGAGGACGCCCTCAGTGGAGGGTTCCACCTCAGTGGAACCCTCCACTGAGGTGGAGCCAGCTCGTCTCTTTACATTCTGGGAGACACTCTTCTCTAGACCCACATCACCGGACCGTCGCCCATTTCGTGACCGTGATCCAGTTAATCAGCAACTAGGGGACCCCATAACATCAGAGGAATTTCTTTTTCATACCAGTCAGGGTGTTTGCAAAATTTTTTAACCTGTTGTTGGTAAACAAATCCCTACCACTACCTTTTCGTAAGAATAAGACAGTACTGATACCAAGAAACCGAATCCAGACACTCCTTCCCACTATCGCCCCATAACCATGTCATCTACGATAGTGAGGCTGTTCCATTAGATTCTGAGCAGCAGACTAACCGAGGCAGTGAGGATTGACAGGCGGCAGAAAGCATTCGTCCCAGTGGGCAGGTGTCTTGAAAACCTGGTGATCCTGGATGCTCTTCTAGCTGAGGCTCGTGTGCTAAAGCACAACTCGCACCTAGATTTTCTGGATATGGAGAAGGCTTTCGATAGCGTCTCCCATCCGGCCATCCAGCGGGCCATGAAATGTAAAGGCATTCTGAAGCCTTTAAGGACATACATCATGTCGTGCTATAAATGGTCCTCAAACGTAATTACCAGCCAAGGGAAGAAGCTGAAGAATTATCCTGATCACTAGGAGGGGTGAAACAGGGTGACCCCCTGTCTCAATTTCTCTTTAACCTAATAATTGATGAGACAATTATTAGGGCTAAGGACTTGGGGCTAGGGATTTGACTGGGGAGCGAAAAGGTATCAGCCCTGGTATTCACTGATGATCTGGTTGTGGCAGCAGAGACGGCTGCCGGACTACAGAGATTAATAACAAGTATTTGCCACACACTGCGTGACTCGGCCTTAAAGTGAATGCTGCGAAGTGCCGTACGCTAAGCATAGCGATCTATGCTCATCATAAGACTTGGCATGTCCCCACCAGGTGGACATACTATGTTGGGGAAGATGAAATTGATACTATGAGTGTGACGAATGAGTACACGAATTATAAATACTTATTGGGGCCGTGGGCAGATGCTTATCCTATGGTTCCCCGTTTGAGGACGGACCGACTAACATCACCTAAGCCCCCATCAAACCTCAACAGAGGTTATACCTACTTAAAAACCACCTAATCCCCATGATGAATTCGTGGCTGGCTACAACTGCCTTACGATACCCCTAATGCCTTCTTTCATGCCGACGTAAAGGACAGTGGAGTAGGAATTCCCGACTTTGCTACATCAATCCGCCTACAAAAGAACAAGCGGATCGGGGCATTGGTAGAGTCGGAGGATCCGGTGGCAGTGGCAACGGCACTCCTACTCACATTCCAAGTGTGAATGCATTGATGGATAGACCCGGCAACGGCCGCCGGAACGCCTTCCAACGGAATGACCAAGCGCACTAGAAGCTGGAAAGCAAAACTTAACAGTATGATTGATGGTGCCGGGCTTGCATCTGTTTCTGAGGTTCCTTCCTCACAAGCCCTGTCCAGGTGTCATCCAGTACCCGTCTGCTAAGCGGATCAGATTTTGCTCATGCCATCCAGATTAGGGCAAACGCTGTAGCCACGCCATCTAGAGCAGCAAAGGGTAGACCCGCAACCTGTCCTCTTAAAAAGAACGTCGCTTTTGGCCGTTTACCCGTATGGCCGAATATGGACGTAATTTGAAAATGAAAAAAATTTAAAAATAAATTTGGGATTTTTTTTTCAACAACAGTAAGTTAAGGGTCCTCTGATAGGTTAGGTGGGCAGGAAATTCTCATAAAGTTCAAAACGTTATGAAAAACGTTAATTGAAAGTTCCTCTTCTAAGCTTGCCGAGGAGGGCCGGACGACTCAAACAGAAAACGGAACAGTACGTCACTTTTGTGAGTCGATTTCATTTCAAATTACGTCCAAATTTGGCCATAGCGCGCATACGAGCCAAAAGTGACGTTATTTTTAAGAGGACGGGTTGGTCTCCGAGGCTTCTGGTCTCTGCGATGTTTACCAGAAACTAGGGACCCAGGGCCACATATCCATGGCATGTTATAAGACTCACGGAGCTCGGGTGAAACGTCATGACGACATCACTTGGTTCATAGCTGGCCGCCTGCGGCAGAGGTTTCGAGGTGGAACGTGAGGTCTGTATACCGGATGGAGGGATCTTCTGCAAGCCCGACATCATCGCTTGCAAAGGTGATGAGGCCTTCATGTTAGACACCCAGGTCTCTGCTGATAATTTCCCACTCTCCCGTCCACATCAGAGCAAGTGCGATAAGTACGCAGAGATCCTTCAAAAGGGCAGGGAATATACCGGTAAGCACACATCATTCGCCTCTTCTATAACCCTTAATTAGAGAGGGGGGTGGTGCAAAGAGAGTGCACGTGGACTTTAGAACTTGGGACTCACCAAGAGTGACCTTGAGATTTGCTCTGTGAAAGCCCTCACCTGGACACATTCCATCTACAAAATATGGTCCAAGTCAACATCAAGGGGCAGACAACTTAGTCCCCGGATCACCGTGCACTGGATGCATAAGGGTCAATATAGTCTTGTCTAGGTGAAGGGCAGCCAGGATAGCTGGCAGCTAACTATGTAAGCAGAGTCGTCATCTGGAGTACCACTTCTCCGAATGGTTCCTCACAGGAGGGTGGATGACCTGGCCGGAGCCCATGAATGGGTATGGCAGCAGCCAGAGGGACCCCATGCGCATATTCCGCTCCGGGGCCTTGCTAGGAGCTTCCGGTTTGAACTGTTTTCCATGTATGTTGCTGTCAAGTCACCAATCCTGCTGCTTAGACAGCTTGTTGTTAAGCCCTCAGCTTTAGTTCTTTTTTTAATTATATACTGTGCACCTCTCTCTTTGTGTGCTGTGTCCCATATAAGTAAAACAAAACAAAATAATTTTCCACTTTACATATTATTATTATTATTATTATTATTATTATTATTATTATTATTATTATTATTATTATTATTATTATTATTATCATCTTAACTCTTGTGGGTTGCGATTGCCATCTAACATTTTTTAGATATTTTAGTTTGTATTTATAGGGAAATACGTATGCTTATTGGTGCCTACTCACCATGCCTAGTGGCTGGGGGGGGGGGGATTAGTGCCCTGAAGGTACATAACAACCCTATCCCCCCCCTCGAAGTGGCAAGGGGAGTTAGGGGACAAAACAAAATAACTAGAGCTGCCTCTCCCAGCACACAGAGGTTGACCCACTAACTTCCCACGCACAATGAAAATGGATAACTATTTATTTTGATAACAAACACTCCAAAATATTTTTCATATGAGTGAAAAAAAATGTTTGAATAGAGAGATAGATCGATATGAGATCCATAACTCTCAAGTGACCCATAATCGTAAATGACCCAGACCTCATAAGGGACCCATAACTAATACGTGACCCATAACTAATAAGTGACGCATAACTCATAAGTGACCCATAACTCACAAGTGACCCATAACTCATAAGTGACCCATAACTCACAAGTGACTCATAACTCACAAGTGACCCATAACTCATAAGTGACCCATAACTCACAAGTGACCCATAACTCACAAGTGACCCATAACTCACAAGTGACCCATAACTCACAAGTGATCCATAACTCACAAGTGACCCATAACTCACAAGTGACCCATAACTCACAAGTGACCCATACCTCACAAGTGACCCATAACTCACAAGTGATCCATAACTCACAAGTGACCCATAACTCACAAGTGACCCATAACTCACAAGTGACCCATAACTCACAAGTGAGCACAACTGGTACTGACCGTAATAAGGAAGGCTCCTCCGGCAACCATCCAGCCCCATCCACCATCGGGCGGCCGGGGGCCTGCCTGCCTGCTGGCCTCCTGCATCTCTAGCACAGATGCCTGCTGCACCTCCTCTCCCTGCTGCACCTCTGCTGACTGCTGCACCTCTGCTGACTGCTGCACCTCCTCTCCCTGCTGCACCTCTGCTGCCTGCTGCACCTCCGTTTCCTGCTGAGGTTGGGTTTGCCAGCTGTGCGGGTGACCATTGGTCTTGTCTGACTCGTCTGGTGACAAGTGGGTGTGCTCAGGCGCCATCATGGAGTGTTCTCCCCCTTCGCCAGGCCTACGCTCCTGCTCACAAGGTCTACGATGCTGCTCACAAGGCCTACGCTCCCACTCGCAAGGCCTACGCTCCCACTCAAAAGACCTATGCTCCCGCTCACCAGGCCTATGCTCCCGCTCACCAGGCCTATGCTCCCGCTCACCAGGCCTATGCTCCCGCTCACCAGACCTATGCTCCCGCTCACCAGGCCTATGCTCCCGCTCAAAAAGCCTACGCTCCTGCTCTCACTCCTCTGCACAACGCTCTATGTATGATCATTTTTGTATTCACTTGGCAGATTCAATAGACTTTGTACATCTTCCTGTCATCATATGCGGACAAGGGTAGGAAGGAGCGCATTAAGGAGAGAAGATTGACAAGGCACAGCTCCACAGAGGAGGTGAGCAAGACAGTCCGGCAGAATCACTACTGCCCTTCTCCCTCTCTCTTAGATATCTTGAGCAAGATTTTATACCCATCAAGGTCATCTCTCTCACCAGATAATCAGCCTTGGACAAGTGTTCTGAGTTACCTATTTATTTTGTCATTATTTCAGTAGTAGTTTTTGGCATTTAGTGGACATTGTCATTTGTTAAGAATATAATTGCATATATAGTGTCACTACTGCTAAGGTTAGAGACAAACTCCTTGTAGATCATTATCCAAATAATAATATTAACTGATGTGCCTGTACTTGACTTCTCCATGTTATCATTAATGAAGGATGATAATGTTGTCTCCCTGTGTGCACGGTTGGCGGGGTGAACACTCAGCAACAGGAAACCGTTTCTGCCCGAAACGCTGCGCGTGCTAGTGGCTTTACAAGACTGTAATTACCATATTTGTATCCTCACATTCCTTATGTACATTCTTGTATATGCATAAATAAATAAATAAATAAACCTTTTAGCTGTATGACGCTCCCTAGAGTCTAGCGAGCGTCATGAAGCTTAGTGATCTAGCGGCGTGACCACTACACATCTCTTGGAATGCATAAACACTCAATTTTAACAAAATCCTTGAAAATGCTCAAGCAAATGTATATAAAACATAGATTGGACAACATGAATGTTCTGCAAAAAATTGGATATAACACATAAACTTAACATAGGCTATGGAATAAATGGGTGACTTAACATGACGTGATGAATGTGAAGATATAGCCTGTTAAATGTATTAAGAAAGTGTGTAAAGACTAGATGTCGTAATTAGACTCTCCTATAAATTATTTGAAAAGTATGAGGAAATGTAAAATAAGCAAATGTTAATTGGGAGTGTGTTAGGCTAAGATGTGCATAAAATGTTGGATGGATAGTGAACAAGTAAACAAATATATGGGATTAAGGTTAGGTTCGGGATGGTTGGGATAGGTTAGGGTTGTTGGGTTATGTAAGGTTAGGTTAGGGTTGTTTTGTTATGTAAGGGAAGAATGCTTAAACAATGCATAACTAAGAATATTAGAGATTTGGAGTAAGTTAGCGAACTGTGATTTGAGTAAAATTTTGTAAAAGTGCGTAAGTTTGTATATAAGCAGGTGTATGTGCAAGTCTGTGTTGAAAGTTACAAGTTACGTAACTCTCCCTATTTTCCCCCTTTACAACTTGTAATAAAGTTGTTACATCGTGTTGTAACGTTTTTATGATGTATTAGAACATTGTTACAACTTGCTCTATTGGTTATTACAACTTGTTAAACGGTATTAAAACTTGTCGGAATGTTATAGCAATGTCGTAGTTTTGTTGTGTGTTTGGAGGAGTGAGTTTGTATGTGCAAAACTTGTGTTTATAAACGTAACTGTATGTGTATTTGAAAGTTTGTGAAATAGTGAATGTGTTTAGTCATGTTACACCAGATTTGAGCCCCACTGGTAAGTTCGGATTGTAACATCAGCTACTGACCCCCTGCTACCAGTGGGACCTTGTTACGAATCAATAATACTTGATTCTGACATTTATCATGATAAAGCATTAATGATACATTTTTCATTCCTCAATTATTTGAAGATTGATATTACGACCTATTGTTTTCTTGAGTGTATTGTTTGAGTTAACTGTAGCTTGCTGTAGTGTGCCTGTATGGTATATTTCTTTGACGACGTTGTGGATTTATTCATATGGGTGGAGTCAGTGGCGTCTTGTGGAGGGAATGCTCAAATATGGAGTCTTTACTGAGGCGCACATTGTAACAACGTAGCGTCCAAGATTAAACCCCTATAATTATTCTTTGTTATTGTATGTATAATTTTTAAATTACACCTCAATAGTGATAAATGTGTATAAATGTGCAGTTAATATTTATGTTTATAAGTATTACTCTCGGCTAGCAGAGTATCCGAGAGTATTCTTGTGTGTTATACATTGGTAATGTGTAGACGCCACCTATGAAGGCGTCTTGTGTGTTATATATTAGTAATGTGTAGACGCCACCTAAGGAAGGTGTCTAGGCAAGTCAGTCGCGTGGGTAAAGCGGTCTATGTCGGACCTGTATTTTTGAGATAAGTCATTTGGTGTATGTTTATGTTTTAGTTACGTAGCTAAATATCTGGTTAGACCATTATTTGTATAACCATTTATTCTTGTAAGGTTTTATCAAGTGATCAGTGTTTATTAGATGGTAATTCACCTCATCATTGTCTGTGTATATTTCTGGTGATTCTTGGTTACCTGTATTTATTATTATTATTATTATTATAATATATATATATATATATATATATATATATATATATATATATATATATATATATATATATATATATATATATATATATATATATATTGTGACAGTAATCTTTTTCAAGAGAGATTTAGCCTGCTCTTTCTTACATCTCATTATTTTTATACGTCTGCAACATCAAGATACCACATTCAAGAATATTATAGAAGTGGAATAACAGACGTCTCTACTAGAGGGGTACATTCACTCCACTCCCCCCTCCTCACTGTCGTCGCACCACCCTCGTCGATCACCAAACTACCACTTCAAGCCAACGCTCTCCCCATTGGTGAGTCAGCGACTTCACGCGACTTCACGCGACTTCAGCGCCCTCTGCTCGCCTATATATAGTCTTGCACGAGCAGTTGGCCTCAGAATATTCTTTGTGCTCTAGAGCTGACGCTTCTATCTAAGCATACGACCTGTATACTAAGTGGAGGTTTCAGCCAGCCAATATTCTCAGCACCATTTACCAATTTTTTGTCTTGCTAATTGTAGAGTAACGTAACCATTATTGTATTTTACATTGTGTTTTTGTCTTTGTATTTTTGATCAGCACTGTACATAGCCAAGGGATTATTCTTGTTTTGTTTGTATTTGTTTAGAGTAAATTAAAGTTTCATTATTTATAAGATTTGTTTTGCGTGTTTTTTCCCTCTCACTTTACCACAGGAAGACAACCGCCAAGCAGTCAACATTTTTTTTTTTTTTTTTTTTTTTTTCTAATGTGACTGGCATTTCCACCAGCCATAGAGAAGACTGCCTTAACACCTATATTTCTCGTCATAATATATATGTGTTTTGTTACCCATTGATGAAGTATGTTGATGTGTTTGTGAAGCAGTTGTTTCTTTCATCCCTAGACAATTGTTTTTGGCAAGACCGCATATATTATTAAATTACAACTGCAACCCCTCTGCATATGAACCTTACCCATATGCAGAGGGGCTAGAGGGACCTCACTGCTGCCTTGAACTTAATACTAAAAATAACTGCCACCACTTTCCCTAATTTATGCGACTAAAGAGATCACTGGACCCAGGGAAAGAAGAGTCCAGTAATAGAGAATTAAGTAGGATTTGGAATTTAAGTACTGGTAAAAATTTATGAAATTTGACTTGCTCAAGACAAGGGGAAATATTATAATCCAATAGGCTGTCTTCAGGATCACATAAAAAATTCAAAGACAATTAGGCTCTTTAGAACTCAAGAGTTAATATTGAGGGAGAATTATCTAAACACGGGAAATCTTTTATCTCCTTTATTTATAATTAATCACAATGGAAAATTAAATACATCAGAGTCTAGTAACTCCTATCTAGAGGCTATGGTATGGATTATACTAACAAATGCCTAACTCAAACGTAGCACATTACAGTTCTTCTGCTTCTTCTGCCAAGATGTTGAAGGCTTCTTCCCGGTCCTGTCCTAGACAGTCCTCTCTAAACTCGGCCTATCCAGGTAATTGTGTAATGGTATGTGCAGACCATAGCTCCTTTACCTTCCCCTTCCTCTCCCCTTCTCTCGCTTGCCTCCCCTCCCTTGTTCATCCTTCCCATGTGTCAGTCCGACCCTCTGGTCATTCTCCCCCTCCCTGCTGGCAGTTTCCCTTAGGCAGGTGGTCAAGTCACTTATTGCAATTAAACATTGCTTTGTGCGAGATGGTAAAATTATAGCTAGGAAGTCTGACACTGGGAAAACCTATGTAATAACCACTGAAGCTCACCTCGATTCTTTCCTGAATGACTGTGGGATAACAGCTGAATAACCATAATACAAATTATAGTCTCGTTTAACGACCAATGATGCTCTGCCTTTCCATTCAAAAGGTTTCAATTTAATTTTTTGAAATTGTTATTGTCTCACTTTTCTTGTTTTTAATATATTTTTTATATACTCCATACTCCCATTTGACCACTGGCTCCCCCCTCCCCGCTCAGCTCGTTGTTGCCGTGAGGGGGGCTTAGTGGGCGGCTGCCGGAGTGTGATGCTCCTTGGGACAGTCCTGTCAGTTTTTTTTTTTTTTTTTTTATGGCCTTGTGCTCCTGCTGCCGTCCTCTCCAATTATGCTGAGCACCTTTTCCTTTTCCTTCTGTTTCGTTTTTTCTCCATCCCTCTTCTCCTATCTGCTTGCCGTTTCCTGCCGACCTTTTGCTTGTTCTGGTTAATCCCTTGGACTTCTTCTATTTTGACGTCCGGGTGCTTGAGGAGGCATACTCTTGCACCCGTAGAACTGTAGTACCCGACGTTGAGAGCGAGGGGAACCTTTTATTGTCAATCCCCATTTCGTCACTGAACCCGATCTCGACGGACTGTCGGTTCTTAAGGTGGCGTTTGTGGGGCGTATACTCACGACGCACCCCTAGGAGGCCCCGGCATGATCGGCGATAGCTTCTTGTTGGGTGTCCTGCCTCTAATTGTGGCTCCATGGTGGGTGTTGGGGCACATTCGTGAATGAATATTCCTTTTCGTAGCGATGATAACCCCTGTTTCGACTGTTTCTGCTTTACCTTCTCAGGCTCGTGG